GGTCTTTTTGAGATGGGGTCTCCCTGTAGCCCCAGCTGGCCTGGAACTCACTATGTGGACCAGGCTGGCCTTGAACTCACAAAGATCCTCCTGCCTCTGCCTCCCAAGTGCTGGGATTAAAGGCGTGCGCCACCGTGACCAGCTCTATCATTTTTTTTTTTAATGGCATGATAACCACCTTCCACTGCTAAGTAATATTACATTGTCTAGATGTGCCAAAATTTTTTATTAATTCATTTCTTGAAGCACATTTTGGTTGCTTTCTTTGGGTAATTATAAATAAAGCTGCTACCAGTGTTCCTGAGCTCATACAAAATTTGAGGTGAATCTTTTTGAGGCAGGGCCTCCCTGTGTCCACAGCTGGCCTGTAACTTGCTGGCCTCGATATCACAGAGATCTGCCTAGCTCTGCCTCCCAAGTGCTATATTAAAGGTGTTATAGTCTTATAGGTAAATAGCAAGATAGTGACAATAGTGACTGTTAAACTTTTTGGTAAGGAGACGTGTAGTTTTGTAAGAAACTGTCAAACTAAGACTCAGACAAAAGAACTTGCTGTGCAAGCCTAACCTGAGTTTGGTTCCCAGACCCACAGTGGAAAGAAGAAACCAACTCCTCACAGTTTTCTTCTGAACTCCTCATGAACACTTCATACAAACATACACAATAATAAATAGATAAATGAATAATAAATAAATAAAAGAAATTTCCAAACTATCTTTCAAAATGTTTCTACTGTTTTGCTAGCAAAGAATAAGGACAGTTTAATATTCCAAACAGTTTAACATCCTTCCCACATATTTATCTATTCTTATGTGTATGAGTGTTATGCTTACATGTATGTAAATGCACCAGTGTTGTGCAATGTCTGTGGAGGACAGAAGTGTCAGATCCCCTGGAACTGGTGTTACGGATGGATGTTAACCGTACTATGGGTCCTGAGATTTGAACCCGGGTCTTCTACAAGAACAACCAGTGCTCTTATTCGCTGAGCCATCTCTCCAGCCCCACTTCCCACATTTGAAATTGTGATATTTAAAAAGGTATATGGACGTATTTCATCATTGTTTTAATTTGCAATTCCTTAATGCCATAAAACAGAGGATACAGTTTTGCATACGTCTCCTTCGATTGGAGTGCTTGTTCAATGTTTCAAATATTTGAATTGTTTGTTTTCTGTTGTTGAAGAATAAGACTTACTTATATGTTTGGGATTAACAGTCATTTATTAGATATTTTCTGCCAGCCCATAACAGTTCTCACTTTTTAATGACGTCCATCTTACCCATTTTTATGGACTGTTCTTTAGGAATTTCACTAAATGGTCACCAGCATAATCAGCATGGCCTAAATTCCCCATGTTTTCTTTAGGTAGTTTTATATTTTACATTTTGGTCTGCCTCTCATCTCCAGTTAATTTTGTTGTACCTTAACTTTTTCTCTATATTTTTTCATTTGTAAATGTAGTCTGATTGTTCCTGTGCCTTTGTTGAAAAGAAAATCTTTGATTCATTGTGAACTGCCTTTGCTAGTCAGATGTCAGTTCACTACATTTATGCGCTTCTGTGCTCGCTGGCTGTGCCTTCCCTGCACACTGTATTTTATTACTGCACCTTCAGGTCTGTCTTGCCATCATTTACCGTGAGTCCTCCGATTTGGCCTTCTTCAATATCATGTTAATTACTCTTTTTTGGGGGGGGGTCTTTTTGAGACAGGGTCTTCCTATAGCCCCAGCTATTCTGGAACTCTCTATGTAGACCAGGCCGGCCTTGAACTCATAGAGCTCTGCCTGCCTCTGCCTCCAGAGTGCTGAGATTAAAAGCTTGTTCCATCATGCCCAGCCATGTTCATTACTCTTGGTCTTATGTTTCCTATATAAAATTTGGACTCTATTTGTGAATAGCCACGAAAGAACCAACTAGAATTTTGATAAGTGCCTTGAACCTACTCGCTGAGTTAGAAAGGACTGACATCTTGACGGCTGAGTGTTGCTATCTCTGAACATGAGGTAGATACCATTTGTTTGGCTCTTGGATTTACTCCATTAGTACTTTGTACTTTTCTTTGTGGAAGTCTTTGTTCATGGTTTCATTAGCTGTGAATGTAAGTACTTCAGTTTGGGGTGCAAATGTAAATGGTGCTGTGCTAATTACAAATTCCTCTTGTTCATTGCTGGCATATAGCAATTTACTTTGTATGTTGCCTCTTTGTAATGATTATGAGCTTCAGGAGGTTTCAGAGAATTGATTCTTTCAAGTGTTCTACACGGAAAATCATGTCCACTAAAAGGTCACTTTCGTTTCTTCTCCTGGATATGAACATTTTTCATTTCTGTTCTTTATATTATCTTGTCCAGGGCTTACAGTATGATGCTATAAAGGATGTCAGAGTTCTCTGTTCCTCGTACAGAGCATGAGAGCTTTTACTTTGTCAACATTAAGTATGAAAATAAACGTAGACTCTAAAAAGGATGCTATTAAGTTAAATAAGCCACCCTTATTCCTAGTTTGCTGAAAGTTTGTTATTGTTATTAAATTATTTTTCCATATCTGTTGTGTAGTCATGTGATTCTTTTCTCTGTTACTTTGTTGATGTAGTGAATTATATTAGCTGATTATTAGTCTTGCATCATCATTTCCTGATATAAATCTCAGAATTGGTATATAGTTATTTTTATACATTGCTATTATTTTGTTGAGAATTTTTTTCTAGGCCCACAGAATGATGCAGGAAGTATTCTTTTTGCTTCTATCTCTTAAACTAGCTTATAGGCAATTCATTTAATTTCTTCCTTAACTATTTTATAGATTTCACTAGTGAATTTGTCTGCACCTGGTGATTTCTGTGTTGGAATGTTATTGTGGATTCAATTTCTTTCATAGATGTAGAACCACTCAAACAGCCTATTTCTCCTTGTGTGAATTTTGAGAAACTGTGTTTTTCAGGAGATTGGTCTATTTTATGCTTGCTACAAAATTGTCACCATAGAATTATTTTTATATATTTATTTTTGAGTTATACTTAGCAACACTTTAATTTTACATATCAATATGTTGTCATGTCATTATTTATCTGATGTTTATTTATTTTTCAGTAGTTGGGACTGATCTCAGGACTTGTGCCTATTATTAAAAGTATCTACACCCTTTTTTATACTTTCTGTTTTTAAGTCAGAGTCTTGTTAAATCATCCAGGCTGGCGATATCCATGCCTCAGTCTCCCAAGTAGTTGGGATTGTCAGTCTGTGCCATGAGGCCTGTCTTCAATATTACACACACACACACATACACACACAATAGTGTTTCAATAAATTTTCTTTAAAATGATCATTTCCTTATGGTGAAGGTTGTTTAGAGTATTCTTGTGTTAATTTTTCTTCATATGTGGGATCTGTAGTGATGTCTTCTTTTTCATTTTGGACATAATATGTGGCCTCCTCTCCTGGTGAAAGGCTTTTCAGTTTTATCAGCCTATACAAATAACCAGCTTTTGAATTTGTTGTCTTTTTGTAACAATTCTCCTTTTTTCAGTCTCACTGATGCCTGTTACATTTTTAAATCATTCTTTTTCTGTTTGCTTTGGACTTGATCTTTTTTCTAGTTTTCAAGGTAGAAGCTTAAATTGCTTAGTTTTTTTCTTTCCTAACAGAAGGAGCGTGTCTTCTATGATCCCAGGCCGTGGACTCCCTTCTGGGTCCTGCTTCCACTGCATCACACACATTTTGAGAAGCTGCATTTTTTTATCTCTTAATTGCAGATATGTTTTAATTTTTCTTACATTTATTTAACTTGTGTTATTTAAGTGTCTTGAGTTAACTTGGAATTTATAGTTTAATTCCACTGTGATCTAAACATACATTATGTGCTTTTTTTTTATTTTACATTTGCTAAGATGTGCTTCATTGGGAGAACGAGACAAGTGGGTGTTCTGCTGCAGGTGAACTGCAGACATGCAGACACACCCATCTGCCAGTGAATGGTGGACACACCTATTGTACCCAGGGCGTTGACGATGCTATTGAGTTCTAGTATCTCCCTCCTAACCTCTGCCTGCTTGATCTGTCTTATACGTATGTAAGAGAAGGTAAGGTCTCCAACTATTATAGCGACTCCAGTATTTTTCCTTTTTGAGACAGATATAGTGCAGGTTTCTTGGGAGCCTGTTACTGGCCTTCAACTCACCTTCCTCCACCCCAGCCTCTCAAGTGCTGGGAATATACCATGTACTGTCATCCCTGTTTTGCCTTGTGTATTTTGATGGTCAGTTTTTAGGCACGTACACACCAAGTATTGTTTAGTCATCATAGAGAATTGATTTCTCTGTCATTATGCAATGCCCATGTATGATATTATATTTTAGTAATTTAAAAATATTTAAATTTTTGAGCTGGAGAGATGAGGCAGCAATTAAGAGCACTAGCTGCTCTTGACCCAGGTTGGATTCCCTGCATCCACATGGCAGCTAACAATCGTCCCTTAGTCCAGTTCCAGGGGATCCGATGCCCTCTTCTGACTTCCACCAGCATTGCACGACATGGGTGCACCTACCTACATGCAGGCAATACACTCATACACATAAATTAAACATAATAATCAAAATATTTAAAGGCTTAAATTTTAACATGCCCTCAGTGTAAAATTATCATAGCTATTTTTTTGATTAGGTATAGCTTGGTGAGTATAAAAAGATATTTAACAGATATAAACATGCCTGGTGGGACAAGCCTATAAACCCAGCACTCAGGATGGGCAGTAAGAGGGTTGGTCATCATGAGTTTGATTCCAGCCTGATGTACACAGTGAGACCCTGTGTCAAAGAAAAACAAAACAAAAATTAGCAAACATAAGTACTGCCAATCATTCTCAGCATGTGACAAGCCTTGGCTCAGCATGAGAAGTTTATGGAAACAGCATGGCATTGAATCAAATCCCTACTCTTGGATAATATCTGTATTTTCTTCTCTAAGGACAGGAAATAGACTTGTACGAAGGTCATGTTTTACCAAATACTTCATGTGTTCTGAGGAATGATTTCTTTCCTTTGTTGGATGTATTCTACTTGGAGTCCTTTGACCCAGCTTTAAACAACCTTGAATGTGAAACAGCTTTCTTTAATCGTGCACTCGGCACTGTGGTTGAGATCCTGGAGGACTTCACTGCCTCTGCTCCCCCTCTGTCTGCATCAAGGCGCTGGACCTGCTGAGGAATTTGGTGTTAAGAGACTAGTGGCCTCAGGTTGGCCTCAGGTCTGGGTTATGAGCAGCTCACCTGCATCTGTGTTCTTGGACTTCCTGGGTGTTTAGTCACAGTACTGCCAGCATTGCCAGGTTCACAGATTTGACAAACAAGTGAGGAGAGTGGCCAGGAGAGATGTCAGTCTGCATGTGTGGGCGTGTCCAGTGGCTCCATAGAGTCACCGTGAGGTTTTGGATGACGCACAGGACAATGAATCACTCGGTCTGTGATCTGAGACCCTCACCTCTGAGTTTGTGGTATTCCTTGTCTCTTCTTGTCTGTATTCTCAGATGGTTGTCTCCCCTGGTTTTACATGTTGAGAGCTGGTAAATGTACCTGAGTGTACATATAGATACATATATATATAAGGCCTATGCTTATAAGTGGTTTATTAGTTCATCATATTTCGTATGAAATTATAGTCCTCAGTCAAGTTGCATTTATTTTTATTAAAAATGTATGTCTTCATAGAATAAAAGAAATGTATAGAAAAATACTCAAATTATATTTTTTCAAAATATATTCCTTTTTTAAACAATTCATCTCCATACGTTAATCATCCACTCCAAAACTGACACTTGGGACTCTTACTGATACATCTAAATTCTAAATAATGTGTTCATTTTTAAAGTACTGAATTATTTTTATTAATCTGGATGAAAAATACTGTCAGATTACATACTTCTGATTTGCTAAACTGTCTATCAATTTGCTCCATTTTAGATGATTTATGTCATTACAGTTGATGGGGAACCGCACACCCTATACCTCAGGAAACAGTAAGATA